GTTGCGACAAGCATGGAAAAATTCTCCCTAGGTACCTTTGGAGAAGGTAAATTTTTTATAAAGAATCACTTTTTTCGATAGAAAGCTTAGTTTGATAGAAAAACAAAATTAAATATGAAAATCGACCAAAATCCTCAAGTTGAACCTGCCGGTTTTTTGTTTCAAAATTATTTTTTTTAAGCCTCTCTGGTGTAAATGCCTGCTAAGTTGAGTGGGGTTTTTCCCAAACACTTGACCAAAACCAACCGACAAAACTCGGATGAGCTGAAGGGAGAAGGCAAAAAATTCAATTCGCTCGCTTATTGTTCACTTTAGAGAAAAACTGAATACCAAGTTTTTCAAGCAGTTTTATCGCCTCTATTCAGTGGCGTGCTTGGAATAACTCGATTTGTTTTGGTTTTGAAGATATTTTGGGATTGCTTGAAACCCCATTTTGGGCATTTTCTCCAAAACCTTAAATGCGGGGATCTTGGAAAAACCCTCACTGGGTACCTTTTGAAGACGCTAATTTTTCATGAAGAATCACTTTATTCAATACAAGGCTTAGTTTGGGAGAAAAAAAAATAAAGTATGAAAATCGACCGAAATCCGACCCGAGGAACTTTTCGACCAAAAAATGTTTTTGTTTGTTTCCCAATATGGTTTTACTGGTATTTACTGTTTCGATCCTGCAAGAACTATGGAGTGGGAATTCGACCTGTGGAAAATTGGTCAACTATCGGAAATTTTTCCGGAAAAATCGGCCGGAAATCGAAAAAAACCTCCAGTAACTCGCTTGTTATTTATCTCAGAGGAAACTTTGTTACCCATTTTTCTATACAAAAAACGAAACTTCTATACAATACCGCATCTAATCCTGGAGCTGTTGAGCGTCTTTTAACTGAACCTCAACGTGAACCAGCGGAGGGAAACTTGAAATATTCCAGGGCAAAATTCGAAACTGAAATAACTAAACGCCCATTAGACTCTAACTGAACGATCCATGGATTGTATTTCGTAGTTGGTGTTTATTTAAGCTGAACAT